ACTCTGAAGCCTCACTCTATCCGCCTTGGTGCAGCTGCCGTACCATACCGTGATGCAGTAGGTTAGCAGGCTCTCAATGGACGAGCGGTAGAGGGTCAGCAGCAGTTAGGCAGTTTTAATTGGCATGGAGTAGCTCTAATACTGTGCTGTCTGTAATGGGACAGTAAACATACTGTTATATAAACCATGCACAAAAAATGAGGAAATTTGGTTGATTATTTCTGGGATTTAAAAATGTTTCTTGGGAATACATCATGTCTGGTTGGAAAGCCTGTTTATTTCCTCTTAAATTTGTCACATTTGTAAACAATTGCATTTGTGGGTTCAGCTGCAGAGTTGAGTATATGGGTTGTACCCATGAAAAACCAACTAGTAAGCATAGACCCTGCACATTAGTCAATTGTGTCTGCAGTATTTAAAGGGAAAAACAGGTTGTCCAATGGTATACAAGTTATTGCTGAAAAACATTGTTACAACTAAGAACTATTCAAACAAACACAAATATTATCTGTATATCTATATCTACCCATCTCTATCTATATATCTGTCTCTCTCTATCATTCATGTATAAGTAACATGAACACGTCACATATACTTCTAAAGGTACTATTGACATGAAATTCTCATCAGATGTCGATAACGATCCATCCAATCCACATATACCAAGAAACCTTAGTTGTCCATAAATTATGTGTAATAATGAGAAATGACACAGGGAAAAATACTGAACACAAGAAGAAAGACAATAGGGCCAAATAATGTCAGCTGGTTCGGTCCCAACTGATGGCCTAAAAAAAGTGTCTCATTACCAGTGATTTACACAAGAAATAGCTCATGATAGATCAAACCAATGAGCTTTCTCAAGACCTTCACAAGATTATTGTTGCAAAACATACTGATGTCATGTTACAGAAGAATTTCTAAAGTCCTGAAGGTTCCAGTGACCACAGGCCCATAATCCAGAAGTGGAGACAACATAATTTCACTGTAAAGCAACCACAACCAGGTGCTCACTGCAATACTTCAGACAGAGAAGTGAAAAGAATTCTCAGTAATTGTTGTGCAAGAGCCAAGGACCACTTGTGAAGAGCTACAACAAGACCTGGCATCAGCAGGTACACTTGTTTCAAAGAAAACAATAAGCAATGCACTTAACTGCCATGGCCTGTATGAATACTCACCATGCAAGTATCTATTGCTTAAGAAAATGCATGTTGGAGAGTACTTAAAGTTTGCGGAACAACATTCAGACAAGCTTGTGAAATACTGGGGGAAAACAGTCCAAAACTGAACTCTTTGGATGCCATAATACAGACCCTGTTTGGAAGTTAAAAGGTACTGCATATCACCCCCAAAACCACAGTGACGTTTGGAGATGGGAACGTCATGATGTGGGCCTGTGTTCAGCATACAGTACTGAATGGATGCAATTAATGGAAAAATGTACAGAGACATTCTTGATAAAAATCTGCTGCTATTTACCAGAATGATGAAGATGAACGTAGGGTGGAAGCTATAGCAGGACAATGATCCCAAACACACAGCCGAGCCAGTTCCACAGGAAGAAAATAAAGCTGCTAGAAAGAGAGAGCATATTTCTCCTCTATTGGCTTCCCTTCATTGGCT